GTATTTTAAATGTGCTCATATTAAATTCTTTTTAAGCCTAGTAACATGCCCATATTAAATGCTTTTGTTATATATGGAAGAGGGAGAAGTAGAAGAGGAATATCACTGATTCACTAACAACCAAAACATTTCTGAGCCAATGAATTATGTCGGTGGATTTCGTAAGGAAGAAATCGATGGAAAACCATTTGACATATTCAATTTCTTATCACAAATCTCAAGCTCCTCAAGTGAAACATCCACTGATTCTAGTGGCCATGACTTCCCTTCTCTTCAACCTCTTTTCCAGTGTCCTTTTCGTAAGAGTATTCGAGAGGGAAAACAATGGAAGAATGATCTTGGTTGCAATGACTTTGTCTCGGTGGATGTTTACCCTCAATTCTTTAACAAAAGAAGCAGTGATCAACAATTCCAATTTTTTATTGGATCCGACATCTATGGTAATCCATGTAAGCTACCTCTCCTCCCTCTCTTTTGGTGCAATAATAAAATATCTTATCAAGAATTCTTTTGTGGTGTATGCGACCACTCAACCCTTGGCCCAGATTATTATTTATGTGTCACATGTGATCAAATGTTCCACAAAGAATGCACAGAGTCTCCACTTGAGATCAAACACCCTTCTTACCCTTTTCTATCTCTCAAACTTTATTATCCTCCCTACCTCGAATACGACACGTTGAGGTGCTTCTGTTGTCATGAAAGAATCTATCAAATGCTTTATTATTGTCCTACCTACGAATTGGTTATGCTTCCAATTTGTGATGAAGCCAATACCCATTGTCATAGACCACATTAAAAGGCATTCTCACCCACTCACCTTTTTCCCTAAACAAAATTCCTTAGTGTGTGATGATTGCGGCCTGATCAATGAACATTTTGCCGACCTATGTATGTGCTTTGTGTGTCTTCGTAGTCCATCAAGATTGTATCTATTCCCCGTATGTCATAAGAATATCGCGTCACCACCACCGTATCTCCTTTACCTCCTCTCTTCCATCCGGTAAATGGACTTGCGGAGTATGTCGTCGGAAGGTCGACAACAATTGAGGTGCATACTCTTGCAACACGTGTGATGATTACTTTGTTCATACAAGATGTGCCTTGAGGAGAGACTTGTGGGATGGAATAGACCTCGAGGGAGTTCCTGAAGAGGATGAAATAGTTGTTGAGCCATTTGAGAAGATTGCTGATGGAATAATACTCCATTTTTCTCATTGCCATCGTTTGAAACTCGAGATGAGTAAAGTTTATGATGAAGACAAGTCTTGTCAAGCGTGCCTCCTTCCAATCTATGAGGGTAGCTACTATTCATGTATGTCACATTGCGACTTCATCCTCCACGAAGCATGTGCTAATGCGCCCCTTAAGAAACAACACCCGTTGCATGCTAATTCACTTAAACTAGAGGTTGACTTCGATAAATATAACAATTGTGAAGGTTACTTCAGATGTGATGCTTGTAAGCGTGAAAGTTGTGGTTTTGTCTATGCGGATGGTTATGACTTAAAACTAGACTCACGGTGTGCCTCGGTTTCTGAACCATTTGAATATGAAGGCCATGAGCATCCCTTGTTCCTAGCTTTAAAGCCAGAAGAGGAAAGAGCGGCAATATGTAATATCTACCAAGAAGAGGGTGACGAAAATAATTATTGTAGAAAACTAAATTGCATCGAGTGCAGTTTTATTATATGTTTCACTTGTGCTACCTTACCATACAAGGGGAGATACAAGCATGACAAACATTTCCTCACATTTCGAGAAAAGGAAGAGGCAAGTGATGATCCAGGATGGTGTGATATATGCGAAAGCAAAATAGTATATTCAAGAAAAGGAGGGTTCTATTCATGCGATGACTACTGCTCAACCACTGTTCATGTTGATTGTTTGATTGGTGAAGATATGTATATGAAACCTGGTCAAAGCATAATAATTCGTAACAATGAAGGGGTTCATATTCGTCGCAACAAGACCATGTCTCGGCCATTATGCCATAGTACAGAGCACCGATGTGAAGGAAAAGTAGTTTTTGAAATGGACCATATGACATTTTGTTCTCAATCTTGTTTATATCAATTTAGAGAGGTAATGTCATTGCCTGTAGTTTTGCCACCTTCGTCCTCTCAAGATAACCCCGTTGGTTATTTACGCTCTCTAATTTTTTTTTTATAAACTTAGAACGATTCAGTGGTCCAAAGCGGAAAAGTAAAGTTTACATAAATAGTTTCTTGTAGAAATACCCAGACTCTCTTAGCAAGCATGTCCACATTAGTATTGTTTGATCTTGAAGTGTGAGCAATGCTGAATCTTGAAAAAAGTTCTTTGCTCCTAATGAACTCTTCTTGTTTTCTACGCTCATGTAATCCTTTCTTGTTTTTTTGTTTTTTCTTTTTCACATTTGTAAGTTTTTATGTAATCCTTTTTGTTTTTTTTTTKTTTTAATAATATAATTAATTCCTTGACGCATATATACTGAACACCAACGAAACTAAAGAGAAATAAACTCCAGTAACTTTGACTTTTCGTCCTAAACCCAAATTTGTGAAATTGATAGCTGACCCACCTAAATTTTAATCTAAAAGCATTATTGCTCCAAACATTTATGTACGGTTATAGTTTGGTTCTATAACTGTTTTTTTTAGGGTTGGGCACAGATACCCGTTACCCGTCTTTTACCGGTTATCCGGTTCGTACTCGTCTCGAAAAATAGGGTATTCGTAATGTTCGAGTCGGGGAACGGATATTATAATTTTGATACCCACGGGGTATCATTTTTTTTTTCACTACCCGTCTCGTTACACATCTTCGTACTCGATTTGCTACCCGACCCGTAAATACTCGCATTTTATATCACTAATATTTGATAAACTTAGT